CGGATACTTCACCCTAACAACAGTAACCCAATTTTGCAAAGAGAAGGTGTGAACCATTTCACTAGTGCAAGAAGGAGACTATGTATGTATGTAAACGGAAATATTCACCGTAGTTCCGAAATGGCAACAAGGCAATTGGCAACAAGGTTGATTGCGCCGCGTGGCTCCACTCGTCACGAAGAATTAGAACTGATACCTTGGAAAGTGTTTGTGCCTCGATCGCCTCTGTGCCCTCTCCTGCACTTGTAGTGTCTCGCCGTTATCTCACCGCTTAAACCGGGGTGCAAAGAAGGGCCTTATTTAGGGTGATTGACTTCCACTACGTGCCCAATAGGAGCCAATTTGGCAACAAGATTCCATTTCTGGACCCTATGACCCAAATTTTTCACCGACAAAGGAACCTTAGAAAAATCCTGAATGTCTGTTTTTGGCAGCCGTAGCTTTTTGTCATGCTTCGTTTTGTTTAGGGAATGAACCACCTTCTAGTGTTCCGGCTACTTTAACATCTGCAGCTAAATAAAATGAATTATGCATACATCCTGCACACGGTTCGTGGCGGTGATTCCCTGACGAATCGCTGCACTGATCGTTGCAATGGTATCTGCTCGGCCATCACCCGAATTATTCTGGAAAAATGTTGTCGACCAAAATAGTGAGAGCGTTAATAACCAAAAAACTTACCGGCGCTTCTACGATCGCACAAACTTTGGAGCCGACATCCTCACTTAGCTGCTGAAATCATTCTTTAAAGCACAGCTCGTCATCAGCCTAACATACTCCACAGATATGAAAACCCCACCTGCTGTATGAATCTAGAGTTAGCAGCATGAATAACGGAGCTGTTCAAATGTCCAACGCCAGAGTTTAACAACGAAGCTAGTTGATTGATCCTAGCTATTTCAAGCCCAAGCTTCTCCACATGTTCCATGTAATGGTTGCGACATCCTTCCAAGACATGGCATAACTGGAAGCAAATGGAAATATGAAAAGAAACGAAGAATAACAAAAGTCTGTGTGGAATGCGCGTGTAGGTATATTGAAAATTGGTGCACCCGAAAAAAGGTTCGCATGCGTGAGCAATACGCCGCTCTAAACTTTGCGGAAATTCGCCTTACGCGCGACAGTTGAGTTGCGCACCGCACCGCGCAGCCCACGACCGATTGTGTCCAGCATAGGCGCTATTGTTCTCCAGTCAAGATACATATGGATGGTGGAAACTTCCGGCTCCGATCCGGTAGCTGGTGATCCGTAGATAGGCCTACACTCAATTTTCAGAAAAGGAGTCTCAAAGAGGAAACGAATGTTTCCAGCAAACTTCGAGGTTTTTGTGTAAACTGGCTTGTCATAGCATACAGAAACTGCGGCGGGACCCAGCTGCATGTGTCCTATCTTGCGAACCGATCTTCGACTCTGAATAGAAAACGATGTGAAAAGAACAATTTGAAAGCAAAACATACTGCAAACTTTACAAGTGCCTTTTTACTCGAATGTCGAGAGGAAATTGAAAAAAAAAATTATGGACGAGCTCAGAGCTTCCTTCCTTAACAGGAAAGCCTTCTGTATGAAATAGATTAAGACGGAACCAATACACTCGCCAACTTCGACCCTCTCACTCACTCTGAAGTGGAAAAAAATCGGCCCAGCAGCCCATTTTATCCTCAAATCTTTTTAGATATTTTTTAGACCTTGTTAATAAAGAGAGAGGCGCAGGAGAAAACAATCGACCGTGGTTTTTGTTGATTCGAGCCGCGGACGCAATCGAGTGTACTAATTAAATGGCAAAAGTCTAGCAAAAAAAGCAATGTCTACTTACGAATAAAAAAGATTTTGGATTTCAAGAGCCAAGTTAGGAGATGAGGAGAGAGATTTTTGACCACAAAAGAATAGTGCACAATATACCTAATGGCCTAAACTCTAACCAGTATCCTAATAAATTTGTCATTGCCAATAAATCGCCAGTTGCTTTCCTTGAGATGGATTTTCCATTTCTTTAATAAACGAGAAGAATTATGGAAAACTCACCGCACTATCGTCGCTCAAGGACCACTCAGATTCACTGCACTTGGTTTGCAAAGTCTCTATCTCTTCATCCGTCAGCTTTCTAGCAACCATGCAACCAGCAATCCAATCCAATGTTTGGTTGAAGCGCGCGCATCTATCACCACAATGCGGTCCCGAGCGGAGCCTCGCCAACGATAACTTTGTAATGGTTGGTGGCGCACATTATTGTCTTTGGTACACGTTTCCGTCGAACCTCTCTAGCATTTGTTCATTTTTTATTTATTCGATGCATGTTTAGGTGCGCTGACACATCTAAAGATTGGTCTGTAGCAACACATATGAGTGAAACAGAATTAAATAATCTGTTATACAGTTTAAGAGCCTCCCTTCTTACGAAAAAATGAACGAAACAGGTGTTATAATGCAAATTGAACAGCAGAATTCGAACAGTACTATTTGGCGGTACTTCTATTATATAAATATTCCATGTCTTCAGATTTACTCAGCTAGTGTTCAGCTGAAATGGATGTTTCCATGCACCATTATGTAGGTTCTTAGGAGCTACATAGAGCATGTACACCCTTTACTGCCTTACTCCTCGGAAACTAAGCTCATTTTTCTCGAAAATTGTGAGTGGAAATGGGTTTGGTTCAAAACTGGGGTAGTGTGATCCGTAGAATACGAATGGGGCGAAAACGCCTGGCGCTCGCAGGCGCCAGTGTTGTTGCATTCGCTTGGCGCCAACACCTCTGGCGCAAGCTACAAATAGTTTCTTGAAGAAGGAGTGTGATATTCGTGTTCCCCTTACCAAACCACCCATAGGCCGAGTTTTCAGAGAACTTTGGTCTAAGGTGTTATAACGCTGACTACAAGCGTTAACGCTCTGAACGGAGATGTTGTCCAAAATCCACGGTTCGAACTACCCTCATGGGCAAGTCAAGCCACTTGCATTCACAATTACGAGAAAGAAACCCAGCTTAGTTTCAGAAGAGTGGGGCGTTAAGGGTTAAAGGAATCTTCCACGGACCATGGACCAGTGGGCGGGACCGGAAGTTTTTGTGACGAAATGCATGGTAGGTACGGATCCACGTGTCGAAG